GAATCAAATTAATAGAATATTGGCTGAATCTGAGCATTTGGGGACCACCAGCAATTCCAAAAAAAGGAAGATTTAGCAGGCACTACTAGTCTCACAAGTCTAAGCAGCCAACGTCCAACCAAGACCCATCATTGACTTCACCGAGCAGGATGCAGAAGGCGTTGACTTTCCTACACGATGACACACTAGTAGTATCTGTCCAACTAGCCCACGCTATAGTCGACATAATGATGGTCGACAATGGAAGTGCAGTCAACTTACTTTAACTCTCAGTCATTCAGAAGATGGGCCTAGAAAGCATAATCATACGACGAGCAGAAGTACTTACTGGATTCAACTGGCATACCTCAACTGTCATCGGCCATATCACACTTGACGTGAAGACATCGCCAGTTATCTCAAAGCAAATATTCACAATCGTAAATGACCTATCTCCCTACAATGGGATTATTAGGAGACCTTGGTTGATCAAGTTGGATGCTGTTACTTCCGTCAAGTACCAAAAAAATCCAATTTCATATCCCAAGAAGAGGAGTTGGAGAAATCAAGTCTGACCAGGCCGCATCCCGACGATGCACTGTGCAAGTATTGAAATAATTAAAGAAAAAGACCTTTATCCCCGTAGAGGCCAGCGAGATCCAAAGGGATGACGAAGCTACCAAATAGCAATTACAGCAGGCGAATCAAGAAGATGGCACCCAAGCAGGCAAAGTAGGATGGAAACCTGAAGAGGACGCTAAAGACATCATCCTTGATCCCTAACAACCGGAAAAGATGGCTAAAATCAACTCACGTCTAAGCCTAGCCGAGAAGGAAGAACTCACGGCTTTCCTGAGGGAAAATCGAGATGTTTTTGCATGGTCACCATTTGACATGCCTGGCATCGACCCTAAGATAGCTTGCCACAAGTTGCACGTCGATCCCGCAGATAAATCGGTGATCCAAAAAAGAAGACATTTCACACCCGAGTAAGTGGCGATCATCAAGGTAGAATTTGACAAGCTATTGGAGGCCGGATTCATAGAAGAGATAGCATACTCAGCATGGTTTGCCAATGTCGTACTAGTCATGAAGAAAGAGAAGGCAAATGAAGGGTTTGCGTAGACTACACCAACCTCAACAAAGCATGCCCAAAAGACCCTTATCCTGTCCCCCGGATCGATCTACTAGTAGATTCAACTTCTGGGAACTAGCTGCTTAGCTTCTTAGACGCATACTCCGGCTACAACCAAATAGCCATGTAAGAGCCTGACAAGGAGAAAACCGTGTTCGTGATATAACGGGGCACCTACTGCTACAAGGTCATGCCTTTTGGCCTCAAGAACACAGGAGCCATTTACCAAAGACTAGTAAATATGATGTTCAAGAAGAAAATTGGGGTAACCATAGAGGTCTGTGTCGACGATATCATGGTAAAGGGCAAGCAACGGTCAGACCACATTTGCAACTTGGCAGAAACTTTCAATATCCTTAAAAAGTACAAGATGAAGAAATGCACGTTTGGAGTATCTTTAGGCTGATTCCTAGGGTACTTAATAACTCAATGAGGAATTGAAGCACATCCCAACCAAATCCGAGTGATCCTAGAGATGAAGTCTCTAACTACCTTGAAGGAGGTCCAAAGCTTGACTGGATAAGCAGCTGCCCTCAACCGCTTCCACTCACGGTCCACTGATCGATGCAAGCTTTTTTTCAAAGCTATCAAGAGGGCAAAATGAGACAAATGGGATGAAGAGTGTGAAAAAGCTTTCCAAGACTTGAAGAAGTATCTCACATCACCTCCTTTACTATCCAAGCTGGAAGCATTTGAAGATTTATACATTTACCTGGCAGTCTCTGAAGTAGCAGTGAGCTCTGCCCTCATGCGAGAAGAGCTGAGGGCCCAACTGCAGGTATTCTACACTTCTAAAGCTCTTCTTGATGCGAAAATAAGATATCCGAAGATCAAAAAATTCATTTTGGCATTAGTAGTTGTGGCTCGGAAGCTCAGACCATACTTTCAAGCTTATACAATCATTTTCATGACTCAGTATCCTCTACGATCAATCTTAGATGGTTCGGACGCTTCTCAACGAGTGATGAAATGGGCATTCGAACTTGGCCAATATGGTCCTTGTTACCTCAGACGGCTCAATGTTCAAGCAGGCGATCATTTTAGGCTTTAAAGCATCTAATAACGAAGCAGAGTATAAGGCCCTACTAGCAAGCCTCCAAATGGCAAAAGACTTGGCGGTAAAGAAGCTCGCAATTCATTATGATTCCCATCTAATCACCAGCCAGGCTACTGGGGAATACAAGGCAAATCATCCAAGGATGGCGCAATACCTAGAGAAAGTACGCCAGCAACTTAAGGCATTTCAGACTTACACTTTAACTCAAGTTCCGCGGGCAGACAATGCCCATACAGATGAGCCAGCTGGTTTAGGCTCCACTCTCAACCTCCAATTTACACGCTCCATTCCAGTGGAATATCTAGACAAGCCAAGCATAGAGATGGAACCGATAACCGAAGTGTCACAGTTTAGTGTAACTCCCAACTGGCAAAGTTCTATTATAGACTACTTGGTCAACGGCACACTACCCACTGAAAGATTGAAGTCAAGGAAGCTCCAAATCAAGGCGGCACGCAACTATATGTGGAACGGCATTCTCGTCCAAAGATCCTACACCGGACTGCATCTCCGCTGCCTAGCACCTCTCGATTATTAGTTATATTTTGATGTTTTATTTATCTTTTTATTCCTATTTTAATGTATTAATTACATTTAAATTTAATTTTCATTTCATTTATCATAATATTTTAATGTCTACATTTAGGCAACTAATTTTTTTTTATAATATATAGTCCGATAACAATTTTGTATGTTCTTCATTTAGGTACATTAATATATTTGAATATTTCGGTATATCCATCAATACAAACATATCAGTACATTAATTCATCGATACAAACATATACATGCATTTTGGTACATACATTTTGGCACACACATTTGAGTTTTTTTTTTTTTTTTTTTTTGAGTACAACAATATATTTTACACTAAGGTAAGGGGAGTTCGGCTAAGCCACACAATGGACAACTTAATTTGGTATCGAATTCGCCATCCACAAGATTTGAACATAATACCTCTCATTTGAGTATTGACTTTCAGGTACATTAATTCAATATACTATATTTTGATACATACATTTCGGTATTGACATTTAGGTACATTAATTCAATATAATACATTTCGGTACATACATTTCAGTACGTACATTTTGGTCCATACATTTCGATATTGACATTTAGGTTACATTAATTCAATATAATACATTTCAGTACGTATATTTCAGTATGTACATTTCGGTACATATATTTTGGTACGTACATTTCAGTACGTATATTTCGGTACGTACATTTTGGTAGGTACATTTTGGTACATACATTTCGGTATTGATATTTAGGTACATTAATTCAATATAATACATTTCGGTACATATATTTAGGTTCATTATAATATATTTCGGTACAATCATGTAGGTACAAAAAAGTCAATTATATATATTTCGGCACGATACAATCATGTATTTATAAATTTTGTATCACAAATTTCTTTTAATATTTTCTCATTTATGTTCATTTATAATTAAAGAACTAAATATGTGCATATTAATAAAATTAAAATTTAATATGGAGAGATTAAATAAAAATACACATTAAATAACAAAAATTGAATATAAATTTTGATAAAAGTACACTTTAAGGGATTAAACTGAATATGTAATCTAGCACCAGGTTTTTTTTAAATTTTAATCTTTTGCAAGGACTAATGTTCAAAAACCCCTAAAAAATATAATGGGCATTTTTAATGTTAAAGCGGAAAAATTTGTGAGATCAATGTTTTTTATTTTATTTTTTGTTTTCATGGTGAAGGAAAGTTAAATGAAGGGGAGTTGAGGGATTCACTTTCTCCCTTGTCATTTTCCAAGCCTTGACTTACTAAACATGAGAAATGCGACACTTTCTCATTCTCAAGCTCTCTTTCGCATACCAAACGTGGCTTAAAAGGTATTTTATACACATAAACTTCAAAATTAAAAACACAAATATTATATACCGAAAGATCTGTATATAGCTCAAATAAACTTTGAAAATAATAAAAGAAACACGACGCTTTAATCTTTTGTTTTTGGACAGAATGTGCAGATAGAAATACTTTGACGTTATTGTTAAAAAATGCTTAATTTTAAGTAAAATTTTGACAAACAAGGCTCACAATTTTATGAGCAGAGGATACAAAATCTCAAGTTTCTCTTGTTTATTAAATGAGTCCAGGAAGGGCTTATGTCATGGTTAGGGGTGGGCACGGTGCGGTTCGGTGCGGTTCCACCCCTAAACTGGAACCGGAACCGAAATATATTAACGGTTCGATTCGGTGCGGTTCCACTTAAATTTATTACTAGAACATTACGGTTCGGTCTATACCAGTTCCGATTCGGTTCTTGCCAGTTTACGGTTCCTAATAATAAATTATTTGAACACCAAATCATTATGCATTCAAATACATCTTCTAAAACTGATTACATAAAGTTGCATACAACACATCTTTTTTAATGCAAATGTCTTTGGTAGTGGCACCAAGTCAACAAAAAGAGACAACTAAAATACATATGCACTGGTCAATCAGTCAACAAACAAAAAAATGATGAAGCAAATTGCAGGTTTTCAGACTTCAGAGAGCAAGCAGGAAGCAGCAGCTCCTGTACACAATTTTTCAACCTATTATACCATGACATGTGTGTGATATATAATTTATTTATTTATTTATTATTAAAAACGGTTCGGTTCGGTTCGACTGGTTCTTGGTCATTCGAAACCGGAACCGGAACCGATTTGAACGGTTCGGTTCGGTTTTTCACTCAAAGTTGACTTTTCCGGTCAACACGGTTTTTTTCGGTTTTTTTTCTTACGGTTCGATGCGGTTTTGCGGTTTGACGGTTTTTATGCCCACCCCTAGTCATGGTTCGACTTTTATTACATTACATTATACTTATACACACTAGTAGTAAGTTCGAAATGGGACCGAATAATTTTAGTTTAACAGATTATACTTCAATATTTGCAACATAGATATCGACCGCATAAACATTTGTGACAAGAAAAATTGATCGTTTTGGCTAATTTTCTTTCAACTTTTGAAGGTCGCTTTCCTTCACGAAGAGGCCATGGAAGCCGTAAGGAACCCGGCGGGGCAGCTTCAGAGCCGCCACTATATCAAGCTGCGGGGACTTCGCATCCATCACTAAGAACTTAGATTCTCCTGTCTTCTCATCATGCACAAATGACACCACGTACCCATCATCCTCCTCCGCGTTTGGATTCTCCGGCTCTCTAGCAACAAAGAAAGGCTCACCGCCGTAGCAATTTGGTCCGTACATCCTGCAGGCCAACGTGGGTTCATCCACGTTGGACGACACATCTAGATCCAGCTTCACCAACCCTGCACACTTCGGTATTGAATCATCAGGGTGCATTGATTCTTCAGAGACAGATCCATACACAAACTTGTTCTTTTTCCCCACGTAAGCCCGATTGATCACCCCGAATTCTAGATTCCTTATGGAGATGAGTTCCCTTGTCACAATCCCTGTCTTAAGATTGATCCTCACTTTCTCTACCGATGCACGGAACAGGTCCCATCTCTCAAAAACGTATTGTACGGACAATACATTTGGTGCAACCAGAACAATGCTATCATCTTCTTGAACATCGTCCCATGCATTAATGGTGTGCAAGATGTTGAACCCCGGAACATCAAACCACTTTATCTCAGACTCGTCAACTGCGTACCTGGGAAGTACTCCGATCTTAGGCACTTTGGAGGGATCAAATACGACTGGAGTTCCTCCCGTAGTGATCATTTTAATGGGATTCACTGTCATTTGTATGTCAACAAATATGGCATATTTCTTGGTGATTGCAAAGTCGTGGAGGATAGATCGATGGCGCATAGAGCATATGGGCACGTCCGGGTGCTTTGTTCCGTCTGCATCGAAGTGAAAATAGGTGAGGTATGGAAACACGGGGCTGTAGCGGAAAGCAAAGGTTTCTCCTGTTTCGGGGTCTGTCTTTGGATGAGCTGTCATGCTCGTGGAGAGCTTCTGGTCGAAATCATGCCGCCCCAGAGTTTGTATATCTCCGTTTGATGTCAAGCGCATGGCGTAAGGAAGGTCAGACTCGCAAAGCGCATAGAGACGGTTGCCAAAGAGAGCTAAACTGGTGTTTGCGACACCAAAGCCGTTAGCAGGATTCAGCTGACCAACAATGATTCGAGTAGCCAGGAGAGCCGCGCGCATGGTAGAGGCAAGGAGGCCGTTGAAGCAAGAGAAGATGCTGGGAAAGAGAGGATATCCGGCTTCGCACTCCACGGTGTATTTATAGGTCTCGACGTAGCGGCTGCAAAGTGTTGCTCGGCCTTGGGAGATCATGATGGAGTGAAGCATGCCGTCGCCATCGAAAAGGTGGTAAGGCCGCCCTTGGGGAAGGAATTGGGGGTTAGGGCCGTTGCGGATGTAGGCACCGTCAAGGCATGGTGGCAGAGAGCCATGTATCAGCTCGCACTCGGTTGGGGGAAGCTCTTGGGTGACCGGAGCAAAGTTGTCAGAGACTACGAGCCTCCGGTCGATTGAAGGTCGGAGAAGTGGAGGCTCTATGGAGTTGTTTATGAAATCATCCAGAGATTTCAAGATCATCGCACATCGTTTCTTTGGAGCAATATCATCATCAACATTTGTTGCTATAGCTGCTAGTACGGGTAAGGATGGAGAAGGACTAGTTCTCTTTGGAGGTTGCAGTTTTCTTGTGTTCGGATTATTGAGATTTTTATAAGTGGAAATTGTGGGCAAAAAAGAAGAACACAACGCATCCATGTAGATTGGGATCATTACGTTGCATGCAATGAAGGGATGTTAGGATTTTGAGCTAATTAAATATGAATTCCAAGTCAATTTACTTGACCCCAATTTAGTCCATATTAGCAAGTTATCAACTTCAAACATAGGGCAGACTTCTAGTCAAACAATACATGCTAAATACAGGTTCTCAATTTGCAAGGACGATGTTTGATGTACACACTACATGCTCATGTGACTTGAAATATGTTGAATCTGGTGAATTATCCACTTGAATCTAATCTTAAGCAAAAATCATAAACTAAGTTTAATAGCAACTTTTTCATCTCATTGTATTTTGATTCAAACCATTACCTTTTCACTTAATCTAATTTATAATAGTACTATTGTTTGTAATTATAAGAAAATAATAATAACAATCTAAGCCTTTGGACTGTGCTCTGAACACTCCTTCTAACTTCTAAAGCCATCTCCAATGGAGAGGGCTAAAGACCCAATAACCAACAAATGACCTGACTTATCAAAAAAACTCATCTCTAACTAATGGCTGGATTATAATGCTATGGATCCCAACAGATTATTATTTGGCTAAAGGGGCATCAGACTAGCCAAATGTAGCCCTCATCTTAACCCATTTTCTAGGGCCCAGCTCCTCATTTATAATAATTAATTGAAACTCAACAGCTAGATTTGAAAGTATCCAATGGTAATTTAATTAAATTAACTAATAAATTTAAAATATAAAGTTAAAACCAATGAATTATTGAGGGGGCTATGTTTAGTGTCTTCGATTGGTGATGGTATATGAATATGGTCTGAGATTGTTCATTCAAAAATAATTTTTTGCAAAGCTACAATTTTGGACGGAGCTATGTTTAGCCCTTTCGGTTGAAAATGATATAAGATTTCCCGACCAAACTCACAACAGAAGAGGATTCTCTCCTCTTCTAATCTCTCTCATCTTCCTTCCTCTCTTACTTGAACATTTATGATTAAGCAATGTTTACCTCTTATATTGATTTTTTTACAAAAACAAAATGATAAAAAACAAAATGTAAGAGGAAAGAAAAAAAGAGAATGAGAATAGAAAGGGAGTATTATACTCCACTCACGACATCCCTTTTTAACATTTCTGCCAAATATTTATTCGATTTTATGTAGTGTGTGTACTTATTTGACGGATCAGAATCCTCTCTTAATCTAAGGATGAGGATCCTCATGACTAAGGGATGTGGGCCGTTGGATGAAAATCCAACGGTTATAATTATTATAACTTTAAAGGGACATCCTTATTTGTAGCCGTTAGATTTTCATTCAACGGTCCACATTTATTGGTCATAAGGATCCTTATCCTTAGATTAGGAGAGAATGCTGATCCCTTATTTGACACTGACGACATCCCTTTCAAATTGACTTCGTTTTAAATTGTGTACTTTTTTTTTTTTCTTTTTATCCTTTGACAAAAAAAAAGTTGCGTACTTTTTTGACCTCACACTGACGTCCAATACTGTTCCTTTGTCAGCTAACTTCAAATGATTCAAATTAAGTGGCCAGCTATCGTCCAACCTATATATCTACTATTCCAGATATGCTTCTAGACAATGTAACGTGCTTCGTTGAATAATTCAATTTGTATTATTAAGGGCTACTTTTTTTCTTCTTATTTTTGGTCAACTAACATATAAATATAAAGGGATTAAAAGTATTGTAGGTATAATTTATTAAACAATTATGGAGGTTATAGAGGGTGTAACAATGGTAGAGAGAAAGAGAGAGATGTGTAATTGTGAGGTGTGTTCTATTCCACCTTATTGTGTCTTTATTTATAATAGTAGGATATGTAAAATCCTTACCATTTTAGGATTACAACTCTTAATAGGTAATCAACTTCTAATAGGAATATAAAGAAATTTCTAGATCTACTAGGATTTACACAATCACATTCCTAATCTAATAGAACTGCAACACTCCATTTCGAGTGTGTAAATACTCAAGTAAATGGCGCATCAGGTCTTCAGTGGTGAAGTAAGTACAGTTGAGAAAGTTGTCAGCACAATGAGAGAATACGAGTCTCAAATTAACAAAAGAATGCATAAAAAGGTAAAACTCACAAAACCTCGCTATGGTAAAACCCAAGGTGGGAGAAAAACCCATAGACTAAGAAGAAAAGTGAGAAGTTATATTAAATCAAAATTATACGTCTTCTGGACGTAAGTAGAAGAGCTCACAAGGGTATGAACAGCCCATGATGGGTGCCTCGCTAAAACCTAGTTAGGTAACAAAAACCCAGTGGAAAAAATGTTCATAATCATAAGGAAAAAGAATACATTAAGATCAAGTGAGTATACTTCTAGATACTCCCCCTGAGTTTGACAGAACTTCCAAATGAGAACTATAAGCATCGCATAAGAATAGTTAGGCATACCAATTCTTCGGACAAGCTTCTGGAAGGTTGACTTCAGCAATGACGTCGTGTAGAGGTCGGCAAGGTTGTCTAGGATCGGTTTGCATGACTTCAATCTCCTAATGCTTTGCTGATATAGATGTGGACGCAATACGTCTTGATGTCAACTTTGTTGATGTATCATGTCTTGGTCAGGTTGATATGTACAACATAGTCTTTATGGATCGTTGCTGAGACTCAACGATGGATGAAAATAGCAAGTACTTCAAATATGCTCAACAAGAACACCTAACCATTTCTCACGTGTGACGTAGTGAAGTGAGGTGAGTCTTGGAACGTTTCGAAGATTTCACAACTAAGGTCATCTTGTGGACTTGCAAGATATTGCAATACCCCTAATGGTAAATACATAACCATTCGGGGATGTGCCTTGTGCGAGCTTGATAAGTAACCTGCGTCAGCATAACAAATAAGGCAAGCATCATTCCTAGGATCAGGGGGTCGGATCTGCTCGGGATGGGTTGGGATTTGCCCAAATCCGTAGTACTTTCAGGATAGCCGAAAACGTCTTTAATACTAATTCAATGGCTGCATGTAGATGCAGTGCTGCATCTTTACCAATAGATCAACAACGAAAGAGATGTTCTTTTTAATTGCAATGAGCTAAGTATAACAAGCACAAAGTTGAACTCATATATGGAACTTCAGGTTTCTTAACCTCTTCAAGGGTCTCATTTGCGTATAGCATATGGAAGATCATAGGTATACTCAAAAGGTAACACCTTCGAGGTATAGTTCGACTGGTGGACCAAAGTACCGTCAAAACAATGCTTAAACTTCAAGTCAAGATGAGTTTTCCTAAGATCGTTCATCTCAAATTTCGTGTTCAGGTGCGAGACAGTTTTCTTAAGTTCTTCTTGAGTCTTAGTGAGATTCATGTCAACAACATAAACTGTAACTCTAGCAATTCAGAATAAGACTTCTTAGTTTAACACGCAAGGGCATTCATTCAATCCCTGACTGATCAAACAATCACTTAAATGGGTATACCACATCCGCCGGATTGCTTCAACCATAAGTGAATGTCTTAAACGAGTTGAGAGGGTATTCCTGTGGTTTGGAACTATTTAAGTTAGTCCATGTAATTCTTCGGGAACTTATATGTAAATCTCCATATCAATATCCCCATAGAGATACACTAACCACATTTCATAATGCTGCAATCAATCACATGACGTTTGAGAGAAATCTTGCGCTTGCACTATTTCATTCATCTCATTACGCTTCCTTTCCCACTTGTAACACAACAGGGTTACCTTGGGTAGTGTAGAAAAGATAGGTCCAAAACACACTTTGGTAAGGAATTTAACCTGGATTGTAGTTTCGGTTGTCCAATCAGTTATACATTGTCACTTAATCAACGGAACACGGTTCGATATCGTCTCTTTTCATTTATGTTGGAAGCTACTATATAAGTGAAAACATCATGAATGGTAATCTCATTTCAATTTCATTTTCTCATCCAAACTAGTATATTGAACCAAGAACTTCAAGTCTCGAGAGTAATCCGGATTTATGTCATAAGATGGAAATGATTTGAGACAATGATCAAGTATAGATTTATTTTGTGTCGTGTCTTCCTCTTCTAGGGAAGTGAATCCTATGAATCGAGTGATTTGTCATGCTCCAGGCCAAGACAAATTGATTAGTTATCCACGGGTATACCGGACTATCTAACAAGGTCGTCCAAGCCGTCCAACAGGGACGGCACACCCTCCAGGGATGTTGACTCAACGTTCGTTAACTACGTCTATCCTTGCAGGCATGTTTACAACTGGTATATGATCTCATCACTTTAGCTAGATCAGAAGAATACATTTGGAGCAATATTCTGAAAGCTAAAATTCATCGCACTTAATTATCACATTTGTGCAGTACAGGGATAGAGATGAGACATAGTGGGCAACATCCACACAACTTTGCGCTGTTCGGGAAATGAATCCTATGAATCAAGTGATTTGTCGTGCTCCAGGCCTAGACCGATTGATTAGCTATCCACGGGTATACCGAACCGTCCAACAAGGACGTCCAAGCCGTCCAACAGGGACAGCACACCCTCCTAGGGATGTTGACTCGATGTCCGTTAAGTACGTCTATCCTTGCAGGCATGTTTACAGCTGGTATATGATCTCGTCACTTTAGCTAGATCAGAGGAATACATCTGGAGCAATATTCTAAAAGCTAGAATTCATCGTACTTGATTATCACATTTGTGCGGTACAGGAATAGAGATGAGACATAGTGGGCAACATCCACACAACTTCGTGCTGTTCTACAGGAACGTTGGCATTATTATCTCCCTCTAACGGCGGGAAGACTGTCTCATTGAAGTGACAATCAGCAAATAAGCTGTAAAGAGATCGCTTGCAAGGGCTCTAAGAGAGCTAAGGTGAAGGAGAATCATAATCGACAAAGATTCACATCCTTCTTTTAAGGACCCATATTAGTATGTTGTGGCGGCGCAACTTGGCACATGGAATGCACACCCAAATCGTGTAAATACGAAGCGTCAAGTTCGTACCCAGTAACCAACTGTAATGTCAAATAGGTTGGGTGGCCTCAAGGCAAACCAACATAGATGCGTACAAGATTGCATAGCCCTAGGCAG